AGGGAGCCATACTCATAGATCTAAACTCCCCTCCCGCACGCGCACCCCCGCCTTGGTGACGCTCACTTCGCAACGGGCCGTGCAGCAGAAATCGTGATATTTTAATTTCGCCATAACTTCGAAACTAAACATCCAATTTTAATCATTCAAAGACCAAATATCATCTACATTAACTGTACTTAATGATGAAATAAATTATTTTGATAAGGATTAATAGAATAAGTAAAATAAATGCGTTTAAAAGTAGTCCAAAAAAATTCAAGATTTTTGATTTAAAAAATGGTTGTTGTGCCTCACTCGACATAGATAGGTATAGTGTGTCGCGGAGTTTTTTGTAGATATTTATAAGATCTACAACTAATTAGAACATTTCATAGTTCTATCTTTTATAGTTTAGGCAGCGTACGCAAAATAAGTAAATTTTCTGGTTGATTTTTTACACCTTGTGTCCGAAAAACCCAAATATATTACGGAACCCTATTTATTTCCAAAATAAAATTTAGTCTATGTTACTCGTGGATAATGTAGCTTTCGAATAGTGAAAGAATTTTTGAAATCGGTCCAGTAGTTTTTGAGCCTATTCATTACAACCAAACAAACAAACAAACAAACAAACAAAGTTTTCCTCTTTATAATATTAGTATAGATACCAATACACACAGCGCCATCTATACCAATAATTTCGTTTTCCCTCGAGAATATCAAATTTTCCCGGGATAAAAAGTACCCTATTATTTAATCCAGACTTCTAACTTTACTTCTGTAAAAATTTGTAGCAATCGGTTTAGTAGTTACCGCTTGAAAGCGGAACAAACAAACAAACAAACTCACTTTCCGATTTATAATATTAGTAAGGACTATCGTAACGTACGAACCAGAATAACCGGTGTGTGTTGCGAATTATGTATGCTAGTGGAATTTGTTATTATCGGCTGTCTAGATTTTTTTTTAAATCGTTGCCCCACACTAGGATTTTCTCCTGTGTCGTGTATCTTTACCCAGTCCCATAAAAAAATGTCCAGCAGTGGTTCTCTACAGATACATCAACAGCCTATAAGTTTTTATTTTTTTATTTTAACGGTGCTCTACTCTAGGATTTTCTCGTGTCGTGTGTACGTTTACAAACATACAAGTTCACATACACATGACACACAGACCCGGAACAACAATCTGTGGATCACACAAAGAGTTGTTCCGTGCGGGAATCGAACCCGCGACACGTTTTTCTAGGACATACTTAATGATTTGAGGGTAAACAAGCAGACGGATCACCTGATGGTACATACGTGATTAACCTCTCGCGCGTCTCGTACACGGGTTTAATAGAAAGCGAATGAACTATTCTGTTCAATCAAATAAAGAACTTACTCGAGCCGTCGTAGCGATCGGACGTCCTCAGTGATTTGAAGAATAAATTGGAAGTACTTGCAAGTGTTTGTTCCGATCACTCAACATGAGCGGAAACCCTGCCCGGGAAATTTGTGACGTCAGCAATGCTGACGCCACGTTTTTTAAAAATACCCTCGAGAACTTTGCCTCGTCGGCAGAAGAAGAACGGGTTGCAACTTGAAAATATACATCACAGAAAAAAATTCCAATCGGTGCAAGTCACTCTCGTACACCCGTGTGTACCGCGCGCGCCTCAAAGAGCCATCAGACCACCACAGATGGGGCCCAATAGGGCCGATGCCGATTCGGAGTCGCGGAGAACCTAACGGGTAACCGGGGCTCCGGCTCGACGTGCAGGAGAAGGAACGGGGTGGTTTTTAGTCAGTAAGAGTCTGACACTCCCTCCCGCCTCACCCAGGCGGGAGCAGTCATTCGATGATTTTCCCCCCTTAAAAAAAAAAAGCACCCGTATGTGCAAGAAACGCGCGAGAGGTTAACGTCGCCCATGGACACCTGAAACACCACATATGTCACAAGTGCGTTACCGGCATTTTGGGAATTGGGAATTTGTGGATTGTTGTAAATGGATTGTTTTTTAAGTTGTATGTAAGAATTGTTTAAGTCTGGGAGAGCCATGCTTCGGCACAAATGGGCCGGCTGGCGGCATGAAAAGTAAATAAACCCCTACAAAGTCTGTCTGGCGCCGGCTAACCGCAAGTAATATAATACGTGTTTACTATCAACGTATACTTAGTTATGTGTCGCGGAGAACCTAACGGGTAACCGGGGCTCCGGCTCGACGTGCGGGAGAAGGAACGGGGTGGTTTTTAGTCAGTAAGAGTCTGACGCTCCCTCCCGCCTCACCCAGGCAGGGAGTAGCCAGGGAGCAGTCATTCGATGATTTTCCCCCATTAAAAAAAAAATACTTAGTTATGTGTGTATAATAGGGGAGAATGGAATAAAATTCATTGTGAATTGCGTTTAAAATTAATCATGGCAAGTGTCAGTCCACTGCTGCACTATGAGTCCTCAAAAAGCCATCAGACCACCAGATGGGGCCCAGTAGGGCTGATGGCCGATACGGAGCCGCGGAAGGTCTAACGGGTTTCCGGGGTTCCGGCTCGGAAGTGCAGGAGTAGGAACGGGGTGTATTTATAGTCAGTAAGAGTATGACACTCCCTCTCGCCAACCCAAGGCGGGAGCAGTCATAAGATGATTTTCCCCCCCACAAAAAGAAAGTACCAACAGTAAAACAAGAAATTGAAAGACACACCAACAGCTGTAGCCAAACGCCACTTTAGCGCTTGTCTACAGAGAGAGTAGAAATCAAAATGTATGGGGATGATACTGACAAGTGTCAAAATGTACGTCAATTCCATATAATTTGATTTTCTATTCTACATGTAAACAAGCGCTAAATGGCATTTAGCTACAGTTGCAGGTTTTATAAGGATCGCATATCTCGTCACCCAAACACTCAGGCACAGTCACTTATAGACGGACACAACAGTAAATAAACTGTATTATATTATGAAAAGAATGTTACACAGGTTTCATACCGAATAGGCTAACTACAGTAACGTCCAACATATTGCTGAATGTCCCCAAATAAGGCGGCAGATTGTAGTATAAAATGAAAAAAGTCCCTTAGTCGGGTATATGTAGTGGGAGAGCCATGCTTCGGCACGAATGGGCCGGCTCGACCGGAGTGATACCACGGCCGAGCAGAAAACCGACGTGAAGCAACGCTTGCGTTGTGTTTCGTCGTGTGAGTGAGGTTACCGGAGGCCCAATTACCTTCCCCTTCCCCAATCTCCCCAATCCCTGAATCCCCAATGATCCTCAAATTCCTAATCCCCAAAAAGCTGGTGACGCACTTGTAACGCCTCTGGTGTTCCAGGTGTCCATGGGCGACGCCGATTGCTTACCATCAGGTGAGCCGTCTGCTCGTTTACCGGCTTATGCATTAAAAAAAAAATATATGACACGTGCGGGATTCTACACGTCATTAATGTCCCCTAAACTACTTCTTCAATAGACTATCAACTCTATAGCTAATGTATAAAAGTTGAAATTCGTCTGTATTATAATGACGGACATCTGCCCCAATTCCCAATGAGAATCGATTGGATAATAGGTTGGGAATTGTCCTTACAATGCATGGTACGATGATATTCGACCGATAAGTGCAATTGGAAGTTTCCCTTTTCATTGATGCAGTGGACGCCATGTTGTACAAAGTTTCATTGAAATCGGTTTAGTAATTTCAAAGAAAGAAAAATAATTTAGTTGCTATAAGCATTATGCTCCAGATACACAAACAATAAACGACAATAAAAAAACTGAAGATTTATGAACATAAAAACTATGTGTGAGCTCCCTCTACGCATCGCAAGAACTTGTGAATCGATTCGCATCGCGCATCAAAATCTTATCTTTCCAAAATCTTCTTTGTTTCTTTTTCCTGTATCTCCTAAGCAATAACAGAAGTGCACACTTCTTTTTACGATCCGTGTCGCGAACTAGTTTTCAATTAAAAATACGTTTAGTACGGTTGACGGTCGAAGGAATGGTCACCCTGGGAGACGCCTTGTCGCATGAAATCGCATCGCAGCATTTCGCATCGCAGTTTTGTGTACGAGCCCTAAAATACAATACCTCGCTTCACAAATTTAAAAAATATTATTAAGAAATTGTTATTTTGTCGGTCCGAAGATGAGGACAATATTGAATAATGTATCTATTGTTTAATTGCAATTTATCTCTAATTTTGTTCTGGATTATAATTCATTATAAATAATTGTTAATGAATAAATACTAGTCGTTACATGTTATAATGTGTGCACAAACTTGTGGAAGCATGGTCTGCCATTTACAGTTTATTGTTACTCTGTTGTGCTTCTGTTTTGTGTACCTATTCAATAAATAAAATAAATACAAGGGCCGTTATTGCACGTATATTTGAATAACAGAAATAAGAATCAACGGTGAAGTGATCTAATGGATAGTTTCACATATTATGCGTCAAATGGCAACCTCACGCACTTCGTCCTATACCAACAAAAACAAAAAAAACCGAAAAGTTTAGTATTTAATATCTAACTATAGTAAATAGTTTCTGATCTGAGAACCTGCCCCGCGTAAATGATCTTAATTATTGTTGTTTACAAAAAAAAGAATATGTTTTTGCTCTCAATAATAAAGTAGATATACAATTAATTACTCGAGTACTTCATTTTTAATTAATTATAGTGTTGATGGCCGTGTGAAGAAGATGTTGTTAGTTTTACGAAATATCCCGCAATTCTTTTGTTTTTATATTATATGATTAGTACTCAAGGCTAAAATGCTAGGTTCTGATTATATCTAGACTTGTTTTGAACTGTTGTTTTATTGTCTTGATATTTATAAAGTAGGTACATTGTTAATAACAACATAATATTATGACCGCGTTTTATTCCTTGAATATTGTTTTAATTTTTGTGCCCGGTATATGTTAGGTACTAGCCTCACCTCCTATTACATGGGACGCATAACATAAATAGTAAAAAGTTGGTATGTATTACATTTTACAGTGGCATTAACTCGTCGAGTACCGGTTTTGTAGACACAATTATAGAACAATAGGTTGCGGTCACCGGTGACCGCTTGGTGTTTGACAGTTTAAGTGCCGTAATGAGCACTTCTGTCTACCCCTTTGCGGATAAAAGGCGTGATGTTATGTAATGATGAGATGCTTAACTAGTACGTACTATAACGGACTGGTGCTGAAAATCAGCGCCGTGGGCTCGAGCCTCTGTGCCCGGTCCACGGTATTAAGCTGAGCTCCAGCCTTTTGCGCTGCGACGCACCGTAGGCTTTTTTGTGTTTCTAAATTCTCGTTGTGTGTCGTAGCAAACTACATGGTTTTTCTTACTTTCTTTCGTTTTTTCTAATGTATTAACTCGTCGAGTACCGTCATTATAGACACAATTATAGAACAATAGGTTGCGGTCACCGGTGACCGCTTGGTGTTTGACAATTTAAATATCTCTTTCTCTTTTCGTTTCAGTCCCAAATCACCGCCGAACAGTCCGAACCTGGAGCCGTCTACTGAAGATGAAATGAAAGGAGTCTACATAAACCACTGGAGAGTGAGTTTTTTTTATTAATACCTAGCTTCTGCCGGCGTCCCGTGGGATAAAACGTAGCCTACGTGTTTTCCATACCATAATCTACCACTCTTCCTTTCATCCCGATCCCTTCAACCGGAAGCCCAGTTACCCCTCCCTCCCCGGTCTCCCCAATCCTCAAATACCTTTCAATCTTCAAATTCCCAATTCCCAAAAGGCCGATAACGCACTTTACTTGTAACGTGTTTCTGGTGTTTCTGGTGTCCATGGGCGACGCCGATTGCTTACCATCAGGTGATCCGTCAGCTCGAGGTATTCCTCGTAGCGCTCCCGTTTTGGAGCGCGCCCATCTAAGCGCTCCCGTTTTATTCCTCTAAGGAAACGATTAAAAATGTTAAAATTTATTTCCTCGAAGCGCTCCCATGATTAACTTTCGGATTGAGATGGGACTTTACTAATTGAAATTATCGATAAGAACTAGGTAATAAGTAGAACACATCGTTATATTATAATATACAAATAGCGGCCAATAAAACAAAAAAAAAACAATAAAACAAATAAAATAATAATTACCAAAGACTTCGCACAAGCCGGGACGGGCCGCTAGTTGTATAATATAACAATGTGTTCTACTTATTACCTAGTTCTTATCGATAAATTCAATTAGTAAAGTCCCATCTCTATCCGAAAGTTAATTATGGGAGCGCTTCGAGGAAGTAAATTTTAATATTTTTAATCGTAATAAAACGGGAGCGCTTAGATGGGCGCGCTTCAAAACGGGAGCGCTACGAGGAATACCTCGTCAGCTCGTTTTACCGACTTATACCAAAAAAAAGTAAATGATAACAAATGTCAGTCATTTAGGAATGCATCCATTAGGAAGGAATTTTTGCTGTTGAGCCCCCATTAAGAAATATTTAGTTAAAAGTCTTATCGCTGACATATTTACTGGACCACGAAACGAATTATCTGGGACTGGTCAGCTCCAGACTGTATTATTTATTGTCTTTAAGGTTAAGTAAAAACGCGGGTTACTCACGTGAATATACTGAGTAAAGCTCTACTAGTTTCGAACCACAGAGGGGTTCTTCCTCATGAGCAGCGTGTGCGGTCGCGGCGACGTCGCGCAGTTCATGAGGAAGAACCCCTCTGTGGTTCGAAACTAGTAGAGCTTGTCTCAGTATATTCACGTGAGTAACCCGCGTTTTTACTTAATTTAGTGTCTCCGATAGTCTTTAAGGTTATTTTCTTTTTCGATCTCTTTGGCTGGATTTTGGTATTACATTGTTCTCACACAATCGAACCAATAAAACTGTGTAACTGAAGAATTGTATTGTGAACCTGATTGAAAAAGATTAACCTATGGAGTTTCTTACTCGTTCTTCTCCATACGAATCTACACTTTGGAATCAACAAATAGCTTCATTTTTAAATTTCTATTGCTGACGTTCAAAAGTGCCTTCCTAGTCTAATTTAAATAAATGATTTTGACTTTTAAATTATTAGATTAATAATAGCTACTGCTACTTTTTAAAAATCTCTATATGGCAATAGGCTCACCCACTATTACATGGGACTCATAACATTAATAGTGAAAAGTGGGTGTTACATCTGTGTGCACCTCTGCCTTCCCCTTTTGGGATAAAAGGCGTGATGTTATGTTATGTTATGTAATTGGTTGTTTGTACCGTTCTATTCGTATAAATAAACTCCTATTGGTCGTAGCGTGATGTTTTATAGCCTATAGCCATCCTCGATAAATGCGCCATCCAACACAAAATTAAGAATTATTCAAATCAGACTTGTAGTTACGGAGATTAGCGCGTTCAAACAAAAAAACAAAAAAAAAACAAACTCTTCCGCTTTATAGTATAAGATAAATAGTGAGGTTAAAGTTTGGACTCATGTTTCCAGGAAGACTCCAACGACTGGGTTTGGGAGTGGAGTAGTAGACCAGACCAGCTTCCACCCAAGTGAGTAACAGTTTCATATTATCCTCTTTTCTCTTTAGCCTTCACAAATTTTTATACGGGGCCACGCCAAGACATGCTACGCCACTGCTCTAAAGATCTATGAGGCTGGATGAGGAGGATCTTCATCAACAGCCTATAAATGCCCACTGCTGAGCAAAGCCTCTTCTCACACGTAAAAGACTTGAACATTAATCACTACGCTTGCTCAATGCGGGTTAGCTATTTCATACTTATTAGAAACTAGCTTTTTCGCACGGCTTCGCTCGCGTCATAAAAGGATAAAAAGTAGCTTATATGACATATACCAATACACACAGCGCCGTCTATACCAATAATTTCGTTTTCCCTCGGGAATATTAAATTTTTCCGCGATAAAAAGTACCCTATTATTTAATCCGGACTTTTAACTTTACGTCTGCAAAATTTCAAAGCAATCGGTTTAGTAGTTACGGCGTGAAAGTGGAACAAACAAACAAACAAACAAACTCACTTTCCGATTTATAATATTAGTAAGGATTGTAAGGATTATAAGTCCAGGTTTCCTCACGATGTTTTCCTTCACCGTTTGTCAGTGGTGTCTAGATAATCTTAGAAAGTACATATAACTCGGAACAAGTCACATTGGTACTTGCCGTTGGTAGGTTTCGAGCCCGCACCCTCATGTATGAGAACCGAGCGTCTTTAGGCCATGTTCCATAACCTATCTTGTATCTGTAGATTTGCTTACTGAGATAAAATTTAGACACGTTTTGTATGGAGCTTATGTCAAAATTCTATCTCAGCAAATCTACAGATAGATGGGTTACAGAAAATGGCCGTTTATCAGTACCAAGATCAATAGATCCAAGGGATATGATTTTGCCGTATTACTTGACTTTTTTATCTAAAAATTCTTCAATGTTTTTCCCCAGGGATTGGCGGTTTAAGCACCCGACGACCAGTGCACGCGGTCCACCTTCAGCCACCTCCTCCATTGAGGTGCTAGACCAGCAGCCTTCGCAACAGGTACTTATTCAGTAATTTCACTTTAAGAGTTTTCTAGTAGACAATGTATTCAAATACAAAATTCAAAAATTCTTTATTATTCTGCCTCGTTGGCCGAGTGGTCGCAAGTGCGACTGACGGGCAAGGGGTCTCGGGTTCGATTCCCGGGTCGGGCAAAGTACTACTGGGTTTTTAAAAAAAAATCTCAGTAGTAGCACAGAGTCTGGAATTGTGCCCGGTATATGACAATAGGCTCACCCCCTATTACATGGGAGTCATAACATAAATAGTGAAAAGTGGGAGTTACATTGTACAGTGGCAACCTCTGCCTATCCCTTCGCGGATAAAAGGCGAATGCCTCTTTTTTTTTAATGGGAAAATCATCCAATGTCTTGTCCCTCTTTGGGTTAGGCAAGAGTAAGAGGGAGTGTCAGACTTTTACTGACTGCTCTTCGTGCCGGAGCCCCGGTAACCCGTTAGGCCATCCGCGGCTCCGTATCGGGCATCAGCCCTACTGGGCCCCCCATCCGTGATAATATTAATTTTTATTATTCCCATTCCAGGGCCACTGCCTGTCCGTCCGTCGTTCCTGCCTGTTCAGTCGGGGCGCCATCGCCGCGGTGCTGCTCACCAACGTCGTCTCATTACTGCTTGGCGCTGGAATTGGGTGAGTACCTCACTTTATTTTTATGGCATAAGCCGGTAAACGATCAGACGGATCACCTGATGATAAGCAATCGGCGTCGCCCATGGACACCTGGAACACCAGAGGCGTTACAAGTGCGTTACCGGCCTTTTGGGGATTAGGAGTTTGAGGATCGTTTGGGATTCAGGAATTGGGGAAGGGGAGGATAATTGTGCTTCCGGTAACCTCACTCACACGACGAAACAACGCAAGCGTTGCTTCACGTCGGTTTTCTGCTCGGCCGTGGTATCACTCCGGTCGAGCCGGCCCATTCGTGCCGAAGCATGGCTCTCCTACACTTAATACTGGACATCTGTTTGGGATACTGTATGAAGATTGGTGGCGTTTTGTAGGCGTTTAATAAGGGTTCATACACAAAATTACGATGCGAATTGCTGCGATGCGATTTCGTGCGACAAGGCGTCTCCCAGGGTGACCATTCCTTCGACGACCGTCAACCGTACTAAACGTATTTTAAATTGAAAACTAGGTCGTGACATGGATCGTAAAAATAAGTGTGCACTTCTGTTATTGCTTACGAGATACAGGAAAAAGAAACAAAGAAGATTTTGGGAAGATAAGATTTTGATGCGCGATGCGAATCAATTCGCAAGTTCTTGCGATGCGTAGAGCGAGTTCGCACATTTTTGCGATGCGAAGTCGCATCGCAGTTTTGTGTACGAGCCCTAAAACGGTCAGTCTACGTTGATCGGACTGGCAGTGGTGACAATGGAGAGCTCAAGCAGCTCGATTGCTGTTGACGATCGTCGACCGACAATCAATCGATTGGTCTGATCGGTCGACGATGTCGACTTATTCAATCTACTATCGATCGACGGTCAATCGATTGTTGTGATAATGCGCTTAGTAATATTATTGTAATTTTTCTTGTATTTCCAGAATGTGGCTAAGCAAACGTGGTATCCTTCCACCCAGACTGATTGTTATCAACTGAAGCTCAAGACTGAGGCTCGACCACTGCAAGTAAATAACGAAATATATACTTAACAAACATAATATTATATACCATATTATCTACACACGCTGCCCAGCTCCTATTGATGTTTTACACCCGATAAATGGACTATCCAACACAAAAAGAATTTTCAAAATCGGTCCAGTAGTTTCCGAGATAGGCGCATTCATACAAACTGTTCAGTTTTATAATATTAGTTTATAGTAATGTTTGTTAAAATGTAATATTGTTATTTATAAATGCAGTTTTTTATGTATATATAGGTAATTGTGATATAAATATTAAATAATACTGTTTTGACTCGCTTTTATTACGTCGACGTGTAACGAACTATGTATGTAATAAAATGTAAGAATCTGAATTACACACACTTGTAATTGTTGTATCATCATGAGACTTTGCAAGTGAGGTGTAGATGACGGGGTATGAAAATTAAAACTGTAATTAGTCCGTCAGTTAGGTAATGAAAAAATATTAGACACGTATTTTTTTATTTTGTCGTATAATAAAACAATACTTAGATAAAATGGCGTTAAGTTTAGGAGTGGGAGGTAGTTACGTCAGAACGTGGTACGTTTTGTAGCACGCTGTGATGTCACGCGACATTTCAAATCAATATATCGTCAAAAGCATTTAATTTTGTGAGAAAAAAAATACGTGTCTAATGTTTTTAAAGAATCTACCAGGAATTGTGGAAACTACTCAATAGGGTAGATGACTAATTTTTATTTTAATGTCCGTCTGGTAGATTATTTTAAATCATTATACACGTATTTTAAATTTTCTTACAGAAACGAATACTTTCGACGATATATTGATTTGAAATGTCGCGTGACGTCACTTCTATGTACATTTTATACGTAGAAATGACTATTTAGCCCCCACTCCTAAACTTTGATTCGTTTTATCTAAGTATTGTTTTATTATACGACAAAATAAAAAAATACGTGTCTAATATTTTTTCATTATCTAACTGACGGACTAATTAGATTTTTAATTTTCTTACCCTGGAAACTACTCAATTGTGTGCAGATGACAATACAATATTACGGTGCCACCGAGCTGGTCTGATGATGGAACCTTGGACCGACTACTAGTAAACATATCGAGATTGGACTCATTTGATAATATGTCCATTCCTTCTGAGTCGAGGACATATGATTAAAAGCGTGTTTTTGCTATATTTAACTATTTTATATCACAATTATCTATGTATAATATTCCGCGTTAGATTTAGAAATGTAATACTGTTTGTAATGGATGATTTGTTAACTAAAATTAAGCAGTTATCGACGAGGCTTGGAAATTGATGGGTCGCTGAACATGGTTAGAAAAGATAGTGTTTTTAGTTAAAACTTTGATTGTTATACCGGTCAAATGGCTATGTAGATGTCGCTAGTTTGATTTCGGTGTCAGGTAAAATGGATTATTGAGTTTTTCAATTGCAGAAGTTTTATAATGGTAAGCACAGAATCTGTGAAGAGGTCCTCATATTACATGGACGTATAACGTTACTGGTGAGCTGTAGGTTGTATGTACATACATTACATATATATGTACATATATTGTATGTGCACCTCTGTTTACCCCTTCAGGGACTAAAAAACTATATATTTTTAAACTGTCAAACACCGCGAGGACACCGGTGACCGCAACCTATTGTTCTATAATTGTGTCTATAATGACGGTACTCGACGAGTTAAAGTTGTATACAATGTTAATTACTATGTTTTCGTCTTACTCACGTAATTATTTGACGAGGAACTCGACTAGTTTCTAACCATGCTAGAGACTAGAGGATTTCAGTAGCAGAGCGACAGTCGCCGCGTTGCGAGACGCGGAATGCTGCTCATGAATATGAGCCTCTAGCATGGCTTGGAACTAGGTCAAGTTCCTCGTCAAACAGTTACGGTAGTAAGCCGAAAACATAATAATTAATTTAGTATGTCTCACGAAAGATTTAATACTACATTTCTTTTAATTTTATCATGTTCACCTTTTACCTACAAAACAACTAGACTTTTCGCTGAGGCTCTATACAGACGGACCGCATTTCAACTGCAATTCAACCGCAAATTGCAGTTAGGATGTAGTTTTAATGCAGTCGTGTCACGACTGTTATTGAACTTGAAACCTAAAGAGAAGTCCAATTGCAGTTCTATTGCAATCATGACCAAACAGTTGCAAACCAAAAGGGCTGTCCGATTGCAGTTCTATTGCAGTCACGACCAAACAGTTGCAAACCAAACGAGCTGTCCGATTGCAGTTCTATTGCAATCATGACCAAACGGTTGCAAACCAAACGAGCTGTCCGATTGCAGTTCTATTGCAGTCACGACCAAACAGTTGCAAACTTAACGAGCTGTCCGATTGCAGTTCTATTGCAGTCACGGCCAAACAGTTGCAAACCAAACGAGCAGTTCGATTGCTGTTCTATTGCAGTCAGGACTAAACGAGCAGCCCGATAGCAGTTATATTACGTGTCGTAGGCGTGTCTACTGCATTGAAACGGCATCCGAACTGTAATTTCCAATTGAGTTTAAATGCGGTTCGTCTGTGTATATAGCTTAAGGCTTAGAAAACGATGGGTGTGCAAATTGGTTAACATTCATCTAATATAAATAAGTATGAGACTGTCTGTATGTGGGTAAGGAAAGAAAGGTAGAAAGAAAACAAAAAAAGGAAAAATACTATTAAAAAAATACAAATATGTAGCGTTTTTAGGTGAAACTTTTTGTATTTTTCTTACATTTTTTCAAAAATAATATTTGATATATAAAATAAATAATAAATATGATACTGCGTCTCCCTTCGTAAACGTTTGGTCTGTTTGTTTATCACAATATAGTGGGTAGGCAGTAAGCAGTAATCCTATATTTCCGGTTCGACCGCAGTGATACCACGGCCGACCAGAAAACTAACGTGAAACAAAGCTTGCGTTGTTTCGTCTTGTGAGTAGGTTACACCCCATTCCCTTCCAGTCTCCCCAATCTCTGATTCTCCACTAATCTTCAAATTCCTAATCCCCAAAAGGCCGGTAACGCACTTGTAACGCCTCTAGTGTTTCATATGTCGATGGGCGACGCCGATTGCTTACCATCAGGTGATCTGTTGGTCTTTGAATATAGGGATTAAAAGTAACATAGTATATGGTAAAAAGATTTATCAAATCGCTCCAGTCGTTTCTGAGTTTCATTGCAAACAAACAAACGATAAGAGGGCTTACTCTTGAATCCAATTCCGATCGATCGACATTGATATTGTGTCGTACTCTTGAGTTGCAACACTAGCGCCCATTGCATCCGTATTGCGCGGATATTGAATGAAGTAAACGGTATTGAGTTTGTCTTTATATTCCGTACTCTGAATGCTATTGTAACAGCTACGACTGTGGTTGTATAGTGTTGACATTGAATAATTATTGGATTGAAATTGTATTGACATTAAGATTGGTTTCAAGAGTAAGCACTCTGGTATGATCTTTGTTCCATTGTTAGGGTTGTCAATCGTTGCGATTAATATGTTCGATCTCAAAAATATTACCAACTTTTGTTCTCATTCGCTTCGATTTGACATTTCATGTAAATTTTGTCAGGTCATCCAATATTGCGGTGATAAACAAACAAACCGAACGTTTTCATAATATAATAGTTATAATGCTATCAATATTTTTATATTATCGTAGTTTTAAGACACTTCTGCTGTTGCCTATGTTGTTGTTGGAATTGAAGATGTTTTTGATTGATCTAACTAAAGAAAGTTTTAAAACCTTTGTCAAAGAAATGTTCCTTATTGCAGTGCAATAAATATCTTTATCAAATCGTAAATATCTTCAAATTCAATATTTTTAATTTTTACTTTGTAGTCTTTTATTATGCACTAAGCATAATATATCATAGCATTCGCCATTTCTAAATAAAAAAAAAATGCACGTCATCATTGTCTCTGTGATTTTAAAAATGCTATTTATTGTCTCTGCGTCGGTGTTGCCAAGTTTATTATTAAAATTTCTACCAAAATATGGCACTCGCAGTTGTATGGGTTGGATATGATGTTTCCTAATTCTTCTTCTCTCATCCCCGTTCTTCTATCCTATCCTCAAATGCCTAATCCCTAATTCTCAAATGGTCGGCAACGCATTTGCTAACTCCACTAGTGTTGCGGGTGTCCATGGACGGCAATGAGGTGATCCGTCGGTTGCCGCCCTTTTACAAACTCTCCTTACTGAAATGTCGTATCCAATCCATATAATATATTTATTTCATTATAATAACATACTATTAAAAAAAGAATTTTAGTTTAATTAAAGAAAATGTCTAAGAAATATCTTCTTTTTGTTTCTTTTTCTTTCTTTATTAGAAGAATTGGCTAGATTTCTGTTTGTACATTTTCGTTCTATGTGGTTTGAAATTCAATGTTGCATTTTTAATTTATAATTGACTTGACAAAAGTATTGGTCTCCTGTGTCGTGTGTACGTTCACAAACACTTTCACATACACATCATACACAGATAAGAACAACTACTTGTGGATCACACAAAAAATACCACTTCTAATGGGGGCTACTGTTTTGACATTAGATGGCGCTGATTTATATAAAGATGTTTTGTCCCATCACTGTATTTGTCAATTTAATGACCAATGTTGTGACATAAGCTAATTCTCTATTGGACTAGAGGTTAGCACGAGCTCCATCTGGTGAGAATATAGCCGGTAGCCGCCATTATACCTACAATTGGGATGATGACGGGGTATGAAAATTAAAAATCTAATTAGTCCGTCAGTTAGGAAATGAAAAAATATTAGACACGTATGTTTTTATTTTGTCGTATAATAAAATGATCTTAACGAATCAAAGTTTAGGAGTGCGGGCTAAAACGTCATTTCTACGTATAAAGTGTACATAGAAGTGACGTCACGCGACATTTCAAATCAATATATCGTCGAAAGTATTCGTTTCTGTAAGAAAATAAAAAATACGTGTCTAATGTTTTAAAATAATCTACCAGACGGACATTAAAATAAAAATTAGTCGTCTACCCTACAGGACCCTATTCAGCACACAGTAGTTATACATACATATCTGTGAGCCGACTGTAGAAAGGGTACAGTCTCTTTATCATATATTTGATAATTTTATTTTGAAGAGTTTCAAGTCAATAAGTTAGAAATGCAACATTGAATCTCGTAACAGATTTATTTTATTTTTCTCACACGATTTGTAAATATAATATATGTTATGTCATTTTAATCGTACCTCGTAAGGCGCTTACAATATAAGGATATATGCATTTTTATTAAAATTTTGTTGTTTTATTTTTTTAATAGTTGTACTTTTCCCTTATTGTCTTCTTTTGGTATCTCGTCGATAAACGAGCAGACGGATCACCTGATGGTAAGCAATCTCCGTCGCTCATGGACACCTGAAACACCAAGGTGTTACAAGTGCGTAACCGGAGTTTTAGAAATTGGGAATTTGATGATTGTGGAGGATTCTGGGATTGGTGAGACTGGGGAGGGGCGTAATTGGGGCTCCGGTAACCTCACTCACACGACAAAACAACGCAAGCGCTGTTCATGTTGGTTATCAGTGCGACCATGGTATTACTCCAGTCGAGCCGGTCCATTCGTGCCGAAGCATGGCTCTCCCATACTTATTTGTCTCCTTCACGCCAAAACGGCTGAAGGGATGGAGACGAAATGTTGAACAGGAGAGAGTAGATTAGGGGAAAATTGAATAATACGAAGCCTTTCTATGCCACGAGATCAGCCGCTAGCAGAAGCTTAATTTTAAAGAGAGAAATTATCACGTTGCTAAGAGAAAATATTAGATATCAAAATCAAACAATTGTTCCGTGCGGCATCGATCACCGCAACGTCCCCGCAACACGTTACGCAGCTGCCAGTTGCCCAGCCACTGAGCCAACCGTGCAGTTGATACAGTACTTATAACATAAAAACTTCTTGTAAAAATGACACCTTTATTTTTTCCAGTGGTAACATTAATTCAACTGTCATTGTCACAGCTGTCAAATCAACAACGCCGCCGTTTTCAAAACGTTTTTGGTACTGAGTAGTTTTTTATCGAAATTTTATCGTAGCACAAATTATTTCAGTGGTTGGCAGGACGGCAAGATGTCTTGGAAAATGATAGTTTTTCTCACAACTGTTTTACATTTGTTGGTTATAAGTATTATCGTGTCGTTTGCTACTTATCATCTCACTTCTGAGATTTCAATGTGATTGTTTGAAAATTCATCGTTTTATACAAGTAAGTATTTTTATAAATACTACTATAGCTAGCTATAAAGGTAACAGTTGGTCTGGCCGTAAGCGCACACCGTAGTCTAAGTACCTACATCTGCAAAACTAGAGGTAGTACGAATGTGTTGCAGACCATGTATGAAATGAAGGTAATGTTCAGGTATAATAGGTACCTAGTTGAAAAACCAGTTGGTTGTCAATACCATAAACTACATACTTTTGTCCCATGGGAGTATGCAGAAATTACAGCCATTGATAATTACGTAATTATTTTAAGTTGAATATTGTGATAGTTATTAGTTATGGCAATAAATATAAGTCCATGCTGTTTAATAAATCATTTTTACAAACGTTACTTTCATTATAATAAGTTATATAATATTTTCTAAGTACTTGATTTTACTCGAGGTTTTTTCATTGATTATTTAGTCTAAATCCCATGGTAATAGTAGTAGAATGCGAAATATGAAAATTTAAGGTATGATTCGTTACATTTAATAAGCGTATTTCATAGGGTTTCAATAAGGTTGTGCGCTGCGTTAGGCTTAGGCATGATAAGGGCGAGGGTGTCCGCTTAGCGTGCTGTTTCATGTAATCTCATATATCAGCGTCATCAGCGTAGGATGGGCGACCCGCTGCATGCAGCGCACGGACTAAAGCCATAAACAAAAAAAAAAATGCATTACATGTTGCACTGAACGTAACGAAACGCAAAACCATAAACTTCAAAATAAAACAATGTGATAATCTGTAGTCTGTATCTGTCAAAGTTTCAATGGCGGACGTCCTCGTATTCTGATCGCAACAAACATATTTATCACGTTTTTAACCAACTTCAACGCTACATGAATATATATTCCACCGTAAAGACAACATAAACGGTGAACAATGTCCACTGTGGTGTCGGACTGTTTCACAATCGGCAGTATAGTTGCGACTCGAACGTGTTACAATGAAAATATCGAGGGAGAAGTTCTAGCTTTTGATCCTCAAACTAAGATGCTTATACTCAAATGTCCGTCTTCGAGCGGTAATCCTAAGCGCCATGACGTAAATATTGTGAATCTATCGTTGGTTAGTGATGTCCAAATCAAGAAAGAAGTGACCACGGCGCCTGAACCTCCACAATCTCTCAACTTGCACAGATTAAACACACGAGTCCGCAATTCAATAGAGAATAAGAGAAGATTAGTGAGTATACAACCTCCTTTTTGAACATGAACGTTCTTTTTTTAATTTCCGCGGCCTTTTTTTATCATAATGTGGTTTTGAGATGATGAAATTTCGATATATTTATTTGGCCTAATTTGTACACTTTCATTCAACTTTTTACCTCTTTATGTATGGAGAATATTAATACACATAACTGTAATCATAAATGTGCAGTCAAAAGTCTGTCTTTGTAAATCAAAACAAGTTTTAAGCATAACTTTCTCTTTCAAAACTTTATCACAACTTCAGCTTAAGAGTTGCCATTTTTCAGATTATCTATAGATAGGTCTTTGAATGAAAATACTATATGTTTGTCACTTCTTCTACAAAGATCTCCTTTCTTTTGGTCTTTTACCAATTTGTTTTAAGTTCAGCAATGAGAGATTTGACTGAACCTCACCCAGGCCTTGCACTAACCATGCAGTTGCCAGATTAGTATTTATTAGAAAAATGTAGTCCCTATTTTTTTACAAATAATAAATATAAATACCATATTATAATGCCTTCACAACTTCCAAACTTTTTTATGTACTTCCCAGTATTAGAAAGTCTCTTTGATTACTCGGAAATATGAAAATGCATATGACTCTTTGATCTCTACTTATTCTTATTAGATCTAGAAGGTTTATAACTATACTCTTGTATCATGAATGGTGAAAGTTACATTAAATAAATTGAGAGACTAGCTACTGTTACCGTTGCAGAGAACCTAACGGGTTACCGGGGCTCTGGCTCAACGTGCAGAAGAAGGAACGGGGTGCATCGCGTTCCGTGTGCCATCAGACTGCTATGGGTGGAGCCCATTAGGGCTGATAACAATATAGAGCTGCAGAAAATGTAAAAGGTTACTGGGGTTCTGGTTCTGGCGGGGTGGTTTTTAGTCAGAGTCTGACACTCCCTCCCGCCTCACCCAGGCGGAGAAAACATTCGATAATTTTTCTCCATTAAAATAAAAAGGGGAGGCCTATGTTCAGCAGGGGATGTTTTATGGCTAATATGATGACTTAAATTAACGTTTTCCATTGCAGGTGTCAGCATTATCAGCATGTTTGGATCCAGAGGGGCAGCGGCTGTTCATGGCGATTGCACGAGTCATCGACGATGTGTCCTGGGCTGGGCAGAACATCAGGGTCTACAATGAAGTTATAATTACACCTCCTTACAAGGTACATAACGTATAAATTAGCAAGCAAATTAAATTGTAATGTTATCTGCGACTGCCGGGCAAGGGTCTTGGGTTCGATTCCCGGGTCGGGCACAACATTACTGGATTTTTTAAAAAAATCCCAAGTAGTAGCGGAGTCTGGAATTGTGCCCGGTATATGGCAATAGGCTCACCCCCTATTACATGAGACTCATAACATAAATAGTGAAAAGTGGGTGTTACATTGTACAGTGGCATTAAGTGCCGTAATGTGCACCTCTGCCTACCCCTTCGGGGATAAAAGGCGTGATGTTATGTTATGTTAT